CCGTGCCCCAGTCCACTAGCCTTAATACCATGTGGGGTTCCATGCAGAGAAGGTATGTAAGTTGAAATGAATTAAGTTTGATAACTGAAGTTCTGAGCCAGGTGTTCATTCAGTCAGACGTACTGCCTTCAGTCAATGTCGTTTGAATGCTCACTCAGTGCCAGGCACAGCAGGGTGTCAGAGAGCTTCAGATGGGTCGTGCGGTTCAGAGAAGGATCCACTTTCTGAGTGTGGGGCAGGACTGAGGAAGGGCTGAAGAAGTGGCTTCTAAGGAGGGAGAGCAGCCTTGGCAGCAATTGACTGATAGCGAACCCTACTTCCCCTGGTCAGAGCTAAGAGAGGTGCAGTGTTCAGAGGTCGCCACCAGGGGTCAGGCGTGCCTGCTCTGTTCTCCAGGGTCTGTCTCATCTGGCTATTTTATTCTGTTGAGGAACCCGCCTTGATGCCCTGTCCTTTTCTCTCTCACTTTCTCCGTGTTCCTTTCTTTCTCACTTCTCGCAGCCCGTCACCCGCTCCTTTAGATCATCCCATTCAGCCGTCAATGCAGGACCAAGAAGCCTCCCAACGACACAGACTGACGTTTCTCCTGACCCTTGGAGAGTCCCACAGCCTCTCTCACTTCCCCAGCTTCACAAGTGACTGACAAACAGCAAGTGCTCCTGCTGTCCCTCCTCTTCTCTTCCTGCTGCCATTCAGCTTCGTCCTCTGGTTTCGTATCCAGAGAAAACAGGCGTGTTTGCGTGTTCATTCCTTCTAACGGGTTTTCTTACGTGGGTCAGCAGAGCTCTTCTCCAAGCTCCAGCCCCTTTTGTGGCCTCCGTGGAACTTCATCTCTCTATACCCGATCTCCTCCTTTTGCTATCTGGTGCATCTCGGACTCTGCTCCTTCAGGTCCCAACTTCCCACCTTTTCTATACTCCCCATGATCCCGCCCTCCACCCCCTCCGCAAGTGAGTCCCGTAGCTTTAGAGGTTTAACTTCTCTGAATGGCTAAATGGTTGCCTCCCATCTTGACTCTGTTCTCATACTCTTCCCTCCAGGAAGCCTTCCCTCTCCCCAGTGTAGACTCTAGAGACGAACAGATATGAGAGGAGGCTGGCTCTTCCAGGTACCAGCTCCGCGATCTTAACCTCTCTAGTTTTCAATTTCTTCATCTGTAAAATGTGCTGTGAGGCCTAAGTGAGGTGATAGATGCGAAAGTGCTTAGCACAGTGTCGAGTCCATAGCAACTGCTCTGGGAGATAGTCTCTGGTCCTTTCGGGTACAGCTGCCACACCCACTGTCACCCAACTCTGGTTCATCCTGCCGATGGGAACCTACCCTCATCTTTGTGTACTGCCTGCTTCTGCTCCCCTACCCTTGGACCGACCAAGGGACTCAGGGGCATGGCAGCCACCATGCTGAGAGAATGGAGCTAGATGCAGACTGTGTGGTGACCTCAGACCACAACTCTCTGTCTTTAGGGCTGTGTCCTCCCTTTACCATGCCCAAGACCTGGAGTGGCGTCTATTCTTCTTCCTTCTCCCTGGAATTATTGGGGGCCCCTCCTGGCCTAGGAAGGGGAAAGGGCTCCCCCAGAACCCCCTGAGGCTTTGAGAGGACCAGAAGGCTGGTGGGAGGTGAAGGAGAGGAGGCAGGGCAGGGGGAATACCGACCACACAATATTCCGACTCCCTGCTCCTTTCCCTTCCACCCCCATCTCTCCACCAAACACGATCCCTGGGTTAATTTTTAGCATCGCAGCTCGCACATTAGTCACTCCCTGTCACCCACCTACACGGCAGGAGGCTGCTGTGCTGGTGCCATCATCCCATCAGCTGAGAGGTGGGATCCAGCCCCGCCCTGGGCACCCCCTCACCCTCCTCTTGGTGCACATGGCTATCCAGGAGCTCCCTTCAGCATGGGTGAGGAGTAGACATCACTCCCAAGACAAGCGGCATGCGGGGCGGGGAGGGGAGGTGGAGAACAGGCTGGTAGGAGAGGGGCTGGGCATCTATTCTTGGAGGAGAACGTCAGGAAGGCCCTTGCAGTCTTCTCCCACCCAAGTAAGGTGCTAGGCTATGACCAGGCAGCTGGTCTCCTGGCAACTCTGGGCTCTGGGAACAAAGGTGTGAGGTCCCCTAGACCTCAGCCCCTGGGAGCTGCTGTTTGCCATCGCAGCAGAGCAGCTGTTCAAACAGGGAGCTTAAGGAAGCTCCATTTTCTTAATCAAATGTCCTCCCCCCCCCTTGGACCAGGGAGGGCAGGGTGGCCAGGTGCAGGTGTCCTGGCTGGAGCTGACACCCAGCCCCGAAGGTGTGTGTGAGAGAGGCCCACGCATGCCAGCTACAGATGGAGCAGGGGAAGGGCCTCCTTACCCCACCCTCCAGGGCTGAGAGGTGGGAGGTGCTGGTTACCTCTGTGCAGCTGGCCCCAAGGAAGCATTCCTGGTTATTGTGTGCTAGGCCCTGTGAGGCCTTGGAGGTACAATGTAAACAAGGTAGAGTTCTCTGCCTTAGGAAAACAAAAGACAGATGCAAAAGAAGTCAGTATAAATTACCTGTTGGGAGTAAGTGCTATCAAGAAAGAAATAGAGGGTTCAAGATAAAGAATAATGGGGCCAGAGAACTACTTCTGATCAGATCAGGGAAATCTCTCTGAGGAAGTGATGTTTATGCTGAGACCTGAGGATGGAGGAATCAGCCTTGGAAAAAAGAGTATTTCAGGCAGAGAGAACAGCATGGGCAAAAGTAAGAGGCAAGAGAGCTTGATATATTTAATAGGGCCAGAAAGAATAGTGTGGCTTAAGTATGATAAGTGACATGGAAGGAGAAACTATTTGAGCTAGAAGAGAGAGGCAGAGACCAGATCCTGGAGGGCATCATGCAGGGCACCCCAATATAGTTGCAGAGGCTGTACACTGCCAAAAGCTCCAGTTGCCAAATTGCTGGGCCTGTGTGGCTGCTGTCAACCCAGAGGAAGGGATACATTTTTGTAATTTTTCTTCCCAGAGGGACATGCTATGAATAAGCCATGATAAGGTTTGGATTTTCCTCTTTTATTTCAGGGGAAGCCATAATGGATGTTAAGCACAGGAGGGTTGTGATCCAATTCCCTGACTGCTTGCTGTGTGAAGGGGCGGTCTAGGGGCAAGAGAGGGAGCAGGGAGCCCATTCAGGAGGCAAGTGCAGCCAACAGTGCAGGAGGGAGACGGTAGGAGGTGGCCTGGCTGAGGGAGGTTGCCACTTAGACCTCTGAAAGCCATCTTTTGTATGTTGGCTATTGTCAAGGAGGAACACTGGCACACGAGTCTCAAATCTTAGGCCCAGCTCTGCCGCTTACTTTCTGTGTGACCCTAGACAGGTCACTTGGAGATGCTTTGAGCACACACTGTATTTAATGAGGTTCTACTATATGCTAGCATTGAGCAAGAAATACAGCAGTGAATAAGACAAGAGAGATTCCTCAGCCCTACCATAAGAGGGGTACATCCTAAAGGGGAGTGGGGCCAGGCAAAAAACAAAACCCATAAAAGTCCGGACTCTTTCAGATGGCGATGAGTGGCATGATGAAATGAAACAAAGCTCTCTCACTGCATGGGTGTGACAGTATTTCGGACAGGGTGGCAAGGGCTTTGGGAGGCACAGCTGAAAACTGAAGGACAACCATGGGAAGAGCAAGTTTAGAGACCTTAGAAGTGGTGGATCTGAAGTGTATTGCGTACACCAAGGCCACCGGAGCAGGAGACAAGGAAATGAGTCAGGCAGGGGTCAGATATCCCAGCATAGGAGCTAGAATCTTGTTCTAGGGGTACTGGGAAACCATTGAGGAGTTCTGGAACAATGGAGTGGTCAGTAGATTTGGCCTGTCACAGATTCACTGGATGATGGCTAAGGTCTCTACAGGAGACCCCAGACCCCAGGAAGAGAGGGTGCCAAATACGGTTATTTGCACAAGGACAGTTAAGAACTTGAGATGAGACTTGTCCACCACCTGGTATGGGTATTTGGGGAGGGAGGCTCAAGATGCACTGAAACAAGAGGCCCAAGTTCTGAAGAGGCGTGGGGCCTCCAGTTCAGGCCCATACATGTATGTTAAAAATCCCCCAGACTATTTCCCCAGCTGCTGGCCCCAAGCAAATAAGATGTAAAATATAGCGTGTGTATGTGTGTGTGTACACATGTGTGTTGGAGGTGGGGTGTGCATTGGAGTCAGAGCTTGTCTGATCCCAATCCTCCCCCTCAGGCAGTCACCACGCTGACACAGATGCAAAAAAAAAATCCATCAATTTTATACAGTTTGTGGTTCAGAAGCAACGATATGCAAAACGGTAGAACAGTCTGCGCTGCCCCCACCCCACCTGGACGTGCTCATTCCTACCCCTCAAAGGGCAGAGAACCCAAGACCCCTGCCTGGCAGGACCCGACTTAGTTGTGGACCCCTGGGAGGGGCCAAGCCCTTAGGGGTCAAGGCTGGGAGCAGGGGGACCAGCACCTTAGTCTCCCTCAGGGAACCACTGGTTAACTGGAACAGTGCGCGCGCGCGCGTGCGTGCGTGCGTGTGTGTGCAGGGTGGAAGAATGTCCCCACCATAGGCCATTTCTCCTCAAGGCCAAGGGTGGGGAGCAAATAAAGCTGAGAAGAGGGCTTCTGGAAGAGAGTCCCTCCCAAGAGGAGTTTTCCTGGACACCCCACAAGGCACTACTGACCAGATGTAGGATGGCACGCCCCATCTTTGGCCTCAAAACCCCTCCCAACCAGAGCTCGCCTGGTTTTCCCCTGCACCTGCTCCCACTGTGGTTTAGGGGAGGAATAAAGGGGTCTGAGGCCTGGGTTCCCACTGGGCAGAAATAAGCCAGGAACCTAGCAGGCCAGCTGGGCTGGCAAGGACCCTCACCCGCTGCTCTGGTCTCCTGGGGTCCCCCTAGGCCAGGCGCCTGCCCCGCCCTTCCCCCCGCCCCCTTTTTGCACTAGTTGGAACGAATAAATAAATAAATACCTCCCACCCCGCCCACCCCTCCCCTACAACTGGCTCTCCTCCTCCTCCAGGGAGCGGTTGAGTCCAGGGATGAACTTGAGCAGCCGCCGGCGGAAGCTGCGGTACTTGGTTTTGCGCAGACCGGGGCCACACAGGGCCTGCTCTCTGGCCTCAGTCCAGAGCGCGCCCGGCGCGCCCCCGCCACCCCCGGGGCCCGCACACCGCACGCTGGCGCTACGGCTCAATCCCGCCCGAGGCCCGGAGATTAGAGCCTCCGCTGGGCCCAGGCCTGGCACGCGGGCGGGGGGCGGCGGTGGAGGTACTGGAGGCTCGGCGCCCTCGAAGAAGCACGTGTGGTAGACGGCGTCATCGGGGTCTCCTCCAGACTGCCGCGCGACCCTGCGAGGGCCCCCGGGTGCAGCCAGCAGGGGTCCGAAGGGCAGCGAGTCTGGGAGCAGGCCAGCCCCGTAGAGGCAGGAGCGCACCGACTCCAACGTGTCATAGATACTTGGGTCCTTCACCACGAGGCCTGCCAGAGCAGAAGACACCAAGGAGGGCCATCAGAGGGTATGGCTAGAACTCCGCAACTTTCTATTGACCATCTGTGTGGCCCTGGGGAGGTCACAACCCCGAACCCCACTTCCCTCATCTGTAAAACAGGAATCACACACTCAGATCCTTATGAGGACCTCTTACTACACAAGAGCCACCGAAGGGATTGAAACAAGCTCTCTGAGCCTTGGTGTTCCCATTTGTGCAACAGAGATGATACTATCTAATACTTACCTTCAGAGGGCTATTGTGAGAATAAACTAAAAATGTGTGTGCATCAGCCCAGGCGGTATTGTACCCCAAGTAGTAGCTCAGAAAACTTTTCTTCACTTTGGAGGGGGTAGTAACCCACTTGCTCTGAGGCGAAAGCATGGCTGAGGTTATGGGGGTATCAGTAGGGGCACAAGTTGCCCTTCATACCCCAATGTACTCACCATGCACCAGCCGCTGCTCCTGCACCATTAGGGACCTGTATTCTCCCCACTTCTCATACAGGGTTTGCTGCAAGAGACACCACCCGCCTCACTGTCAGGAGCCAGCAAGAAACTAGCAGGAGGTGGGTATAGATGGAAGGATAAGGGAGTACACCGAGGAAAACTTAAAGCTAAAAGGAGGTTCAGACAGATAAATGACCCCCCAAAAAAGAGTGGGGCCGGCAGGGGCTTGGGAAGAAGAGGGTGGAGGCTGGAAATTAATGGCTTTTTTACCTTCAGGTACTGCAGACGAGCCTCCAGTTCTGCCTTCCGAATTGATGTCCCATACAGAGTTTCCAGCCTGAGGAGGTTGAGGAATCAAAGGCTAAGTGAGCCCCCAGGTGTGGAAACACTGAAACAGGCTGAGCTCATGAGTCTTCAGGGATCACAGCACCTGGACATACCTGAGAACGTTTCCAGATGCCTTAATGATATCAACAATCTCTCGATGCCGAATGCCTTCCACATTTAGGCCGTTGACACTGGCAATGGTGTCCCCTGCCAAGGATAACATAATTCCAGCTCCTTATCTCAGACAGAAAGGGTAGGGGTAATAACCCCACAGAATACTCCTGAACCTCCCCCCCTACCCCCACCGACACACACGCACACACACTCCTCCTGGTTCTGGAGAAACCTTGTCCAGGCCCAGCACCCTAGCTTAGGGGGCAGGGCCCTAATACACCCACACCTACACTCCACCATCAGGAAGCTCTGTCCCCAAAGGCTAAGCCCTCACAGCAACCTTGAGCTGCCCCTATAGTTGGTTATTTCAGTCCAGCCCACAGGGTGATATGAGTCCCAGTCAAGACAGGAAGAGGGCAGGGTCAGTGGCACCAAGCTAAGAACTAACACTGGCCCCAGGCATGAGAGGCCATGATATCCTGTGCCACTGCAGAGCATCCTGACCTCAGGCAGGGCAAGCCACCATCTCTGAGGGTTCATTTTCTATCTGTAAAAAGGAGGTGTGGATCCCAGCTATGGCTACCGTGGGGATCAAGAGGGAGAGTAGATAGGAAACAACTTTGCAAAGTTGCAACATACCACTTGGCTACCAGGGACTAGTGTAAGTGGACAAGTTGTTGAGGGCTTAGGGAAGAAAATGGTGATAGAACTGGGGGAGTGTAAATTCATGTAATCTCAGGCTGCCCCTTCCTGGGACTTAGAATTATAGATTTGGCCAATTCCGAAGGTCTCCTACTAGAGACACCATTTCCTCATTAGAGGAAGTAACGCAGGTACGCAGAGTTGGGCCAGGTCAGGGCAAGATAGTCGCTGATCCCCAGTATCAGGCAGATCTAATGAAATTGCTCCTTCCCCAACTCCTGCCCATGCTGGATTGCCAGATTGCCAGGAGGAAGCAGAACAGCAGCAGCAACATCTGGCATTTATCAGGCCCTGGCTCTGTGTCCAGGGAACCCCTCATCACATTGTGGTATGAGGACATCTTATCATCCCCATTAACAGATGGGACTGCTCAAGATCACACAGTAAACGGCAAATGTGCCTGGATCCAAAGCCTATCCATTCTTCTTTCTGGCTTTCCCAAAATAAGACGAGAGTACCACTCTGTTTGGGAGGAAGGTCATACCCCCTTCCCAGAGCCTTATGTCCTGGACTCAGGCCCCACCTGGTGTGAGTCCGGCCAGCTGGGCAGGGCTAGACTCATGGACCCGGCAGACAAAAGTCACCATCTCCACACGCTGCTCTTCTCGGTGGTGAAGGCCGTACGTCTGTAACAGACAAGGGGACTCTCAGCCCTGGGGTGGGGTGCCCTCCCAACCCTTTACTCGCTCTGCATCTAGCTTCTCCCACCTGGATCTCAAAGCCGAAGGTCTGGTTTTCCTCCTTCTCCAAAGTCAGCACTTTCCTGCAGGAGACACAGGAGCCATATTATCAAGGCTGTCAGAATTTAAAAGGGCTTGGCAGTCCCACAACAGCCCCTCCACTGATGCTGGAGTCGGCTCTAGAACATCCAGGCAGGGCTCACTGTCTCCAGTGACAACTCATTCTCATCACAGGTTGCTGAAAATGTCTCTCCCCATACCAAGCTGAAATCAGCTTTATCCAACCACACAGCGTTAGTTAATTCAGCCTCCAGGCGAGGAAGGTGATGAGAATGTCTGGCCCCTAGAGCAGTGGGCTAGCTGAATTTTCAGCCAGTTCCTGCTTTGTAGTGGGCCCCAGAGTACCACTTACTGAGTAGCTGAGGCCCCAGATTCAGCCCCATCCTGGAGCCTCTACTCTACAGCCTTGGGGAGAGGGCTGGCCCCACCCCTAGAGGCCAGTCACGAGGCTCAGCCCAGACCACAGCAGCTCCTCCCAGCTGTGGTGGAGCCAGCCCACCAGATGTGAGGGCTGGGGGAGGGGAGCCGGGAGGCCGTTCCTTCCCGCACTGAAGGCCTGCCCACTGGACACAATGGTCTGGAGCTGCTCCAATTCCTCGCCTGCTGGGGGAGCCCAGAGTTTCCTCTGCTCGCCCCCACCCCCTTCCTTCCCTCCCAACCAGAGGCAGAGTTAAAGCAGCCATCAAAGTCCCCTTCAAGTCTCACAGCCTCATAAAGGCCCTGGAGACTCATGTCCCTGGAGTCTCAGCTTGACCCAGATACCCTCCAAATGCTGAGTGGTAACTCTCAGCCCCAACCTGAGCTCTTCCCTACTTTGAATGCAGGCCTTTCCCCCTGTGTATTGGGGCAGGGAGCAGGGTGATGAAAAATTCTGTCTACCCCAGTGCTTTCCGGTTTTCTGGAAGGGTTAGCAAACTTTTCTGCAAAAGGTCAGATAGTAAATATGTTAGGCTTTCTTCTTTTGGGGGCCCATTCAGCCTCTGTCATATATTGTTCTTTGTTTTTATTTGAACAACCCTTTAGAAATATAAAAACAACTCAGCTCAAGGGTCAAACAGGCCAATTTGGCCAGCAGGCTACAGTCTGCTGATTCATTTTAGAAGAAGCCAGGCCCAAATCAGGATGGGACACGGCAGAGTGAAGCCTAAGGTCAGCACCTGTGTCTGCCCCCACCTCAGATCCTTCCTAAGAGGGCCGCCACAGGATTGGACCATGATAGGACTGAGGTTCTGGAGGCAGGGGCAGCCAGATTCAAGTAGCTGGACAGGGCCTGGCTATGGTCTGGGCCCTCAGAGCTTGCTAGGGCTGGGAGGGCTCAGGGCCCTGAAGACTTCTCTCACGTCCTCCACCTCCCAGATCCATATCTCCCCAGAAAGGGGTAACTGTCAGGGACTGGGAGTAGGTTGAGGAGCACTTGATGACTCAAAAGTCCCTACCTCCTTTTTCTGCCACCCCCTTCATACAGTCCACACCCCCACGTGCCCCTCACTCCTAGTGAAGGAGACGTGCTAAAAGAGTGGGAGAAATGACTCCCCCTGGACTGGGCTGAGATGCTGTGTCGTGCCGCCCTTTACCCCCACCTGGGCACCTCACCCTTTAAACCAGGGCAGGGGCTGGGGTGGTGGTGACTCACCGCTGTTGTTCAGGACTCTGGCTGAGATTCTTCCAGCGGAATCCTGAGCCCTAAGTGGGAAGATGGAGAGTTAGGAGGAAGCAGGTGAGGAAGGGGTTGTCCTTGAGCAGATGCTGAGAGTTCTACTCTGGAAGGTCCGTCACCTGGGCTCCAGGCCTGGACCCAGCACTTCATTCCCTGTTGCCTGTCTGTCTGGTCCTAGTTCCACACCTGCTCAGTGCCACTATCGGTATCACTCCGTAGCTTTCTCCTTAGGCTTTACCTCCATAACTGGGCCTTCAGGAACACAAGGGTCCTCCTGGGTTCCAGATGCATGAACCTCTAAGCCCAGGCTGGGAGTGAGGGTGGGGGGTGGGTAGGGGAGTCATTAATCTAGATATAGTGGTAGTTTCCACTCCCAGGGCACATGACTGCAAGGTCTTAGGCCTCTCAGATCCCTACAGCTGAGGCACAGGGCTCCTCCCAAACGTTCCCGAAGAGGGGCAGGGGCACTTCAGAGACCCCCTTCCGGTCAGGTCTCTCCTAATCTTTCAGCCACAGACAATGACTTGGGGCAGCTGAGGTCAGGGGCCCAGGTCTGGAGGGCTGGCAATTCCAGCCTAAATGTAGAAAGGTCAGAGGAGCCAAGCCACTGTCCCCAAAGTATAGCCTATTTCAGGGACAAACTGTGGATCCCAGATGCAGGTGACCAGCTGTACCCAGCTCTACCTGGGTCTCTTGACATTACCATATATTTATTGCTTTCTGGGACAAAAAAAAAATCTAGATCTCAAATGTGTGCTTAAGTCTCACTAGACTTAAGGAGAGAGATTGGGAGTTCTTTTTATTTTTTTAGGGGACAGGATATGTGACAGAGCTGAGGGTTCCTGCCTTTTTAGGGCCTTTGAGAAACTAAAACAGTCTCGCTCCCTAAATTTTGGTCCTGGAAGAAGGCTTGTCCATGTGCCCCAAAGAGCCCAGGGCCTTCCTGGTGGGTGCCCTTGTTAAC